CCCCCCCCCCCCCCCGCCAACGCACCCCGTATGGTTTAAGGGGAAAAACACCTTCCAGCAGCCTCCCATTGCCCTTGGAATAAAACACAGGCTCCTTAATGAGGTCCCATAAGGCCCTGTCAACCTGCCCCTGCCCACTTCACCTCTCCTTCCCCAGGTCCTGGCCAAACCTCTGTGGATCCTTTCCGCATCTCTCTCCTACCTCAATGTCCTCACAACACCTGGTGTTCCCTCGGCCTGACGACCCCTTCTCCCTCTTACCTTCCTTATTCCTGCTCATTATCCAGGGTCCGGGGTACACTGCTAGTCTCCCTTACAAAAGCATTCTACCCCTTACAGGCTGTGTGACCACGGGCAACGTACCTTGGCCTCGTACCTCACAGAGATATCCTATACCAAGTACCTTAGGACAGTGCTCAGTACACAGGAGATAACTAACAAATCACAGCTGCTATTGCTATTGCCCCTTATAGCGATCTCCATCACAGCTCTCAGCACAATCAGCAATTACATATACATTTGTAGGAAAAAGGGAAATGCTCCTTTGTATCCCGTCTTAATACCTAATACTGCTCATGCTATTTCTCCACATGCTGTGTTTTTTGCGGGGCGAAGATAAAATGAATGTTTACAGAGCGATTTTGCCCTCAATTAATTATTACCTTGGAGATGTGGTTAGGCAGATGAAGAAACTGAGGCACAGAGGAGTACTGGCCAAGATCAAGCGGTAGATTCGAATCCAAGTTGGCCTGACCCCATAGCCTGTATATACAGGCTGCGTATAGACAACACCAAAGGCTTTCCTAACTCACGGACCTTGTTATCTCAGAGCAGCAAGCCTCAGAGAAGACGGATCTTCACATTCTTCTCCCACGTATCTACTCTTCAGATCCTTAACCAGTCTGGCGTTTAAGCACTTCCTGTGAACTCCTTCAACAGAATTCTCTCCCCCCTCTCACCGTGATAGATTTCCTTCTTCCTTTACGTTGGATGGTGAACACTTAGTGGGATGGGTTACCTATCACCTCTTATACCCCTAGCAAATAGGAGGCACTTAGTACATGTGTGCTAAACAAATTAAACAATAAATGACAATGTTTGAGAATACATTACAGCTGCAAAGTTGAGGAGCGGTGGGGTGGATTTTCCTAACAATTCTGAAGTTTGGCACAGTCGGGAACAAACTTGACATGAATGATGACAAAAATGGAGTTTGTCGTAACCACCTTTACACTTGATAACGACTTCTATATGGAACACCAGAGACTGACTTCACATGACTTACGCATATGCCCTTTACAGCCACAGGGAGACTCGCCTCTCCCTCTGGGGCGCTGCATCACCACCAAAGTCCTGCTATCCTCCACAGCTACACGTGAGCTGCCCTTCAGAACACGATGCCCTTGACAAGTGCCAATCTCTCAATGGTTACTTTCAAATGGTTTAGAAAAAGAAACAGAAAGAGCAAATGATAAAGCAAGCGGGAGCAAACTATCAGTAATCCGTGACCTTGGGTAAAGGGAACACAGGAGTTCTTTGTACTCTTCTTGCAACGTTTCTGTAATTATAATCAAAATAAGAAGCTTTTAAAATCTAATAGAGAAGAGCTGTCCCAGGAGATTCCGACACACAAGGCCTGGTGTACTGGCCATGCTGATAGCATATTCTCTTGTCAGCTATTCCAGAAAGCACATTCCAGGCTTGGATTTCCTTGCCTGTCAGCCAACATCAACGGACGAGGAACTCCTTGGGTAGCAGAGCTCAGCTATGGCCTCTGGGTTGTGACGGAGATTAAATTATTTGCTGCTAAAGAATACTAATGAACACATGGGTGTCTCCTATGGGTCAAAACCCTGGTACCATTTCCCCACGCTCGGCACCCTACATACTTTCTTCAGCAGAGTGCCTTCTGAGTTACTTTTCCCCAAATATAGCCATGGGGTCAGGCAAATTCTCCCCAGGACCCTTCTTTCTGTCTCCCAAGAGAACCAAACAGGTAGTTCTGATGGTAAGAGCGTTACTGCTATTGTCTACGGAGAGACCTGGGGGAAGAGGCAAAAATAACCATGGGGGAGTCACAAGTATTTCAGAAAACAGAAAACCGAATGTAGTAGTTACTTGGTCTGCAAGGAGCATTTGCTATCACCTTTTCATTCACTAATTATTTTTACCCATTCATCCTAGACTCTTCCCCACTAGCCAAAAGGCCTCAGCTTTCCCAGCCACTGAAACCCAACAATAGGGAGAAAGTTCTAAACCACCAAACACTCACCCCTCACCTATAAGGTGTGATATGTAACTTATTCCTTGATGAGAGATTTTTTTTTTTTTTAAGTTTTTTAACTTTTATTGGGGGGGGCAGAAGGAGAGGGAAAGAGGGAGAGAGGAGGGAGGAAAAAGAGGAGGGGGAGGGGAGCGAGGAGGGGGAGGGAGTGGAGAGAGGGGAGGGGTGAGGTGGGGGAGGGGCAAGAGGAGGGGGGAGGGGAGAGAGAAGATGGGGAGGGGCGAGAGGAGGGGGGAGGGGTGAGAGGAGGGGGAGGGGCGAGAGGAGGGGCGAGACGGGGGGGGGCGAGAGGGGGGGCGAGGGGGGGGGAGGGGAGAGAGAATCTAACCTAGGTTCCACTCCCAGCATGAAGCCCAATGCAGGGCTTGATCCCACAACCCTGAGATCATGACCTGAGCCGAAATCAGAGTCGGATACTCAACCCACTGAGCCACCCAGGCGCCCCAAGAGATTTTTTTTTTTTTAAATGTAAGCCAGCATATGACCTCTACCTTCCCCAGACAGAGCCTGTTTTGTATAACCTCCATGAGGAGATAGGTGCATTATGTCCTATGATAATAGCCTCTGTACCAGTGATCAAGGCTTTTAAGAGCCCTCTGTAGCGCTGCGCCTTCACAAACACCCAATGCCTCCTGCCTCCCCCACTGCCCCCCCAAATACTTGCCTAGTTTTGCAGTCAGGCCTCAAAGTAGTGGGCAAAAAGACGATATAGACTGGAGTAGCTGAGGAGAGAAATGGATTGTTATGGCTGATGGAACACAAGGGAGGGAAAAGACAAGCATTATCAAAGGATCATACCCAACCCACCAGCCTCACACCCGTTCGTTCTTAATTTTTGCGTTCACTAACCTATCCGCCTCAACCGCGATGAGCCCCGGGCCAGAACTCCTCCTACTTCTGGAAACCTCGTGTACAGGCCAGGCGGTGGGACACAGGAGCCCCTAAGGCTGCTTCCAAGCTACCCCTGGCTTGCAGCCGATCACAAACACCTCAGGAAGGAGTGGAAGAGCCTTCTCCACTTTCTCTTACCTGTTACCAAGATTTACAGGCTCCTCAAAGTGAGAAGGCACGCACCACACTGCCAAGGCATAGCAACAGGACTCAGAAAGGAGGGAAACAGAACACGTGGGTTCTAGAACCAGACCTGCATCCCCGAGTTTTCCGGAGGTGATTGGATGAAAAATACAAGGAGCTTTTTTTTTTTTTTTTAAGGGAACGATACGGAGTTACGAACTCTGCACTAGCAAACAAAACTGCAGAGAAGAGCACAGATAAAGGAAAGGTGGCAAGGATGGTAGCTAATGCTGAGAAGCGCATCCCAAAAATCTCACGTGATCCCTTCACCCCCTTGAAGAGAGGTATTATCTTTTACAATTCAAGTATTTCACCTCAGAGGTCACTTTAAACGAAAACAGAACGGTATGCTAGAGGTAAAATACTCCGAGGCTAAACAAAAAAGAAAAAAAACACCTATTTTCACTTAGCCGGAGAGTAATCACACGATGCTATAAAAGCATGAAAACTAGGTATTCAAAGGGTACAGAGGCGGGGGTCGACATTCCCATTGTTTACAGAGGTTATGAAAATATTAAATTAAATAAAACACAATGCTTTGTTCAGACCGACTCCTTTCTCACCCTCACCCCCACCCTCAGGCTGGCAAAAAGTGGCTTCAGGGAAGGTATTTAAGAGAACTACTCTGGGAAAGTGGATTCTGAGTTGCTTAAACTGAGCCAAGATGTTGTGCAACCAGTCTTTACCTAAATTATTTTCCATTACTTTCCGAGTTTAGAGAGAAGCAGACAGTTATCTTTACCGGACTGAATACACAGAATGAGGTCGCCTTTCCCTCCAGGCCACTGAAATCACCACCAACACGGTTTTGATTTCTTATACAATCAGACGGCGTCCGGAGTGGGGGGGACGAGGGGTGGGGATCCCATCCTCAGTTTCACAGATAAACGGTTCTCAAATCAAAAAAACCAAAAACAAACAAAAAAAAACACCCTTGCGCACATCTGAGGCCATGATTTCCTAGCAACTCAGAAAAGTCAGAGAAGTGGCCAAACAAGTTTCTTGCCAAATGCCTGGGAACTACATATGTCCCAGGGCTACACAATGATACCAACTTTTAAACATGCCTTCACATACCACCATTTCGGTCACTCGCTCGAGATCCCGCCCCCCCCCCCTCTCCTCCTCACAAGTAATAAACGCAGGTTGCCCAGCGCAATTTAAAGCCAGACTTCGCCGAAGCCAGTGGCTCTGAAAAGCGAGAGAAAAAGATTGGAGGGAGGCTCGCTCGCTCTCTTTTTAAATCGATCGCCCCACGGCCGAGGGAATAAAACCAACCCGACCGCTGGAGAAAAGTTAACTTCGCCGTGCCCGGCGGTGGGAAAAATTTTCCCCCGCAAGATTCGCAAAGCCCTACCGCTTTTCCCACCCTCCCCCTAGCCCCCCCCCGGACCGCCCGGCGCTCGGCGGTCGCGGCGGCCCCGGACCGGCAGCGCCCGAACAATGACGGGAGGGGGAGGGAAAGTTCGCTAGCCCGCGGGGCGCTCACGCTCCAGCTCCGGGGGCACCCGGACTCACCCGAGCCGCCCGGCCCCCCGCGCCACGCACCCGGTGCCCCACGCCCCCCAAACGCCGAAACAGCCAGGGGCGCGCCGCCCGCTCCCCAGAGCATCCGGCCACGGGGCGGCCCGCGGAGCAGGTCCTCCCGCCGCGGGGCTGACCCCGGGGGCCCCGGGAGCCGGCAGAGCACGGAGACGGAGGGGGCGCCGGGAGGGGGCACCGGAGGGGGCCGGCCGCAACAGTTATGGCGCTCAATTCCTGCCCAAGCGGAGCCTTAGCCGAGCCCGAGCTCCGGCGTCCGCCCCCGCCCCCCGCGTCGGCCGCCCGGCGCTCCCCGAGCCGGCTGAGGGGCCGGCGGCCACTTCACCTCAGCCCACACACGCTCTCGGGCCGGGGACGCCGGGGACGCCGGAGCGACCGCGATGCGGGGCCGGGGCGCCCCGGAACGCTGCGAGGTTGGGCCGGGACGCCACGCTCCGCGGCGTCCGCTTCCACTCCCCGAGGCCGCCACTCCCGCTGCCCGCCCGGCGCGACGCCCCCGGCCCCGCTCGCGCCGCGTCCAGCTTCAGCGGCGCCTACCTTCGCGCAGCGAGGTCGCGGCTCCTTCCTCCCCGGCTCCACGCTCGGGCCCGGCAATGTGCCGGGCGAGTCCGGTAGGGGTGGTAACCGCCCCCCTAACCGCTCGCTTTCTTCTCTCCCCTCCCTCGCACCTGCCCCCTAATCTCCTCCCCACCCCCGCCCCTCCGCCCCGCCGCCCGATCCGCCCGGGCCGCCCCCTGCGCCTCAGCTCCCGCCCTCGGCCCTCGCCCGCCCGGCCCGTCAGGCCTCAGCGCTGGGCCGGCGGTTGGGCGGCGGCGGCAGCGGCGGCGGCGGCAGCGGCGGCGGCGGCGGCTGAAGCGGCGCGGAGCACTATTGTATTCCTGACACTGTGCGCTCCCACGCTCCGCCTCTTCCCCTTCCTTCCAGCCCCCTCCCAACCGCCCCCCCCCCACCCCAACCGCCGGCCGCGCTCGCCCTACCCGAGTGGCTCCCCGCCGTCCGCCAGCCGCGCGCTCTTCTGGCGGGCTGGGCGCCGTCGCCACCGCCGCGCGCCTCGAGGCTCCGCCCCCTGAGTGCTCCCGCACCCGCGGCGTCGTGCTCCAGGTGGGTTCCGCCGTGCTCCTGCTGGGCGCGCTGCTGCGGGGGGGAGCCTCAGCCCGGATAAGTGCCCGAGAGGACGATGGGGAGGTGCCTTGGCTGTAGTGAAATACAAACTAAGCCTTGCATGGCCCCTTTCAACTCTAAAGTTCTGTTAAGTGGACCCTCGTGTATAAAACTCATTGTGGGCCACTATTGATTTAAGTTGTTTGCGCTTGAATTACCTATGATAATGAAGCCAGGGTGGCTATTAACGGAATAAATTTATTCAATTGCCAGCACAAATGGTCTGTGTGATGTTGTGTGGCTTTTTGAGGTGTCAACTCGGTTAGGCTACCGCCCCAGTTATTCAATCAAACATTAATCTACGTGTTGCTGTGAAGATATTTTGCTGTTGTGACTAAAGCCCCTGATGGGTTGATTTAAAGTAAAGGGAGATTATCCTGGATAATCTGGGTGGGCCCAATCATTCCTTTCTGACTGCATGCCCTACAGATTTTGGATTTGCTTAGCCAGCCCCACAGTCGTGTAAGCCAATATCTTTTAATGAATGAATAAATAAACTGTGTGTGTGTGTGTGTGTGTGTGTGTGTGTAAAACGTCCTATTGGTTGGCTTCTCTGGTGGAATCCTAACTCATACAGATGTTTAAGCAACAAACCCTTTTTTGGTTTACTTATCTGGGTTTGGAAATGGACCATGTGCAATTACCATGAACTCATATTGTCATTTTCATTTACATTTCTTGGCTGTACAAAAATGTAGGCTCTTCTGTATTTTGTCCGATTTACATAGTAAAGATGTGATTCCGTTTCATGATACGCAAATGCGTGAGTTCCAAAACATTCAATGTCCTTCAGGCTTACCTTGTTTGATTAACTTATTTTGAAATAATCATAGATCCACAGGAGCTGTAAAAATATTACAGAACAGACCCATGCACTCTTCACCTAGTTTCCCCCAATGCTAATATCTTACATAACCAAGATATTGACACTGGTACAATCCACAGACCTTATTCAGATTTCACCAGTTTTACCTGCACTCATTTCTGTGTCTGTGTGTATAGCACTGCACAATTTTATCATGCGTCGATTTGTGTGACCACCCCAATCAACTGTTCTCCGCAACACAAATTCTTCCAGCTACAAAATATAGTCCGAGCCACCTCCTTCACCTCCTTTAAACCCCTGGCGGCCTCTAACATGTTCTCCATCTCTATAATTTTGTTATTTCAAGAAGATTATGAGATGGAATCACGCCTTTTGAAATTGGCTTTCCAATTCAGCATAATTGCCTTGAGATCCACCCAAGTTGCTGCCTGTATCAATAGTTCATTCCTTTTTCCTGCTAACTAGCGATATTGTTATGCTTTGGTGTTCTACAGTGTGTTTACAGTGCATTTATTCACCCGTCGAACATTTGGGTTGTTTCCAATTTTTGTCTATTAAGATTAAAACTGCTATGAACAGTCATGTAGTTTTTTGTGTGTAAACATAAGTTTTCCTTTTTCTGTGACAAATGTCCCAGAATGCAATCGCTGGGTCGGGTGGGAAGTGTAAGTAAGGTTAGTGTTTTAAGAAACCGCCAGAATTTTCCAGAGTGTACAATTTTACATCCCTACCAGCAATGTGTGAGATCCAGTTTCTTCACATCTTTGCTAGCATTTGGTATTGTCACTATAATTTTAGCCGTTCTAATAGGTGTCTCGTGATCTCTCTTTGTTTTCAATTGCACTTCCCTAATGATATTGACATTTTTTTATGTGCTTATGGGCCATCTGTATATCCTTTTTGGTGAAATGTTCGTTTATGTCTTTTTTCCATTTTCTGATTGTACTGTTTACTTCTTACGGTTAAATTTTGAGAATTCTTTATATATTCTGGATACGAGTTCTCTGTCAGATACATGGTCTGCAATTTCCCCCCAGTCTGTAGCTGGTCTTTTCATCTCCTTAAGAGATTTTGCAGCCCCAAATTTTTCATTTTGATGAAGTCCAACTTCTCAATGTCTGCATTTATTTTTTATTTTTTTTAATGTTTATTTATTTTTGAGAGAGAGAGAGAGACAGAGTGCAAGTGGGGGAGGGGCAGAGAGAGAGGGGGAGACCGAATCCAAAGCAGGCTCCGGGCTCTGAGCTGTCAGCACAGAGCCTCAGGCGGAACTCGAACCCAGAACCACGAGATCATGACCTGAGCCAAAGTTGAACGCTTAGCTGACTGAGCCACCAGGCACCCCTCAATATCTGCATTTATGAACCGTCGTTTTCATGTCGTGTCTAAAGAATTTTTTGCCTAGCGCCAGGTTCCACAAATTTTCTCTTCTGTTTCCTTCTAAAAGTGTTATAGTTGCATACTTTACATTTAAATCTATGATTCATTTTGAATTTTGGTATAAAATGTGAACTTAATGAGGTCGAGATTCATATTTTTGTCTATAGATATCTGATGGCTCAAACACAACTTGTTAAAATGACTCTCTTTCCTCCATTGAATTGCTTTTGTCAAAATCAGTTGGGTGCGGTGTTTGGGCTAATTGCGTGGGGCTATTTTTGGCTCCCTCTCCTGTCCTGTTGTTCTTAATGTTTCTAACCCCCTGTGAGTACCAAAGTCCAAATTACTATAGCTGTGTAGCAAGATTTAACATTGGGTCGAGTGATTCTTCCCATTTTATTCTTCAAAATTGCTTTAGCCATTCAAGGTCATTTGCCTTTCTATGTAAATTTTGGAATGAGTTTGTTTATATCTGCAGAAACTTTGCTGGGACTTTTAAAGGAACTGTGTTAAACATATGGATCAATTTGGGGGAGAATTAACGTCTTTACTGCATCTTGCAATCCATGAAGATGATTTGTGTGCCTCTCCATTTATTTTGATCTTTGACTTCTTTCCTCAGCGTTTTGGAATTTTCAGCATACAGATCCCATACATGTTTTGTTAAGTGTACACTGTATTTCTTTTTTTTTGGAGTGATTAGAAATCGTATTGTGGGTTTTTTTCCGCTTTCTCATTCGTTGCTCATTATCAGTGTGTATACAGAAATGCAATTAATTTTTGTGTGTTGATCTTATATCCTTTAACTTTGCTGAACCCATTTATTAGTTCTAGAAGTTTTCTGGCAGATTCGTTGGGTTTTTCTGAACAGCCACTCATGTTGTCTGTGAAGACATTTTATTTCTTCCCTTCCAATCTGTCTGCTTTTTATTTCCTTTTCTTACCTTATTGTGCAGGCGAGACCTTTCAGTCCTATGTTAAGTAAGAGTCATACAAGTGGACATACTTCCCTTGTTCCCTGTCCTAGGGGGAAACGTGCCGTCTGTCACCATAAAGAAAATTATTAGCTGCCCTTTATCAAGCTGAAAAAAGTTCCCTTCTATTCCTAGTTTGCCTAGAGTTTTTATCACGAACGAATGCCGAATTTTGTCAAATGCCTCTTGTGTATCAATTGATACCATCATATGCTTTTTCTCCTTTGCCCTGTGGATATGGTAGATTGCATTGATCGAATATTGAGTTTTGAACTAACCCTGCATACCTGGAATAGGCCCCACGTGGTCTAATTCTTTTTCTACATTCCTGGATTCTATATCGCTACTATGGGGTGGCAGATTTTTGCGTCCAAGTTCATGAGAGAAGTTTTGAGGGTTCCCCCTCCCCCCATACTTTGTCTGGTTTTGGAACGAGGACAATACTGGCCTCCTAAAATGAATTGGGAAGTTGTGCAGAAAAGAGTTAACACAGCAGGCCCTTCGTAGGCTACTGAGAACCTGGATTTCTGGAGGGTTCCCACCATTCCCAGAATTGATAAGAGCGGTTCGCCACGCCTGAACTGTGTGAGCATGTGTGATTTGTGCCGCGACCACATTTCAAGTCTCCTGATATCCAGGCTGTGCAGAGTAACAGGCCCAACTGCTATCTTTGAAGGGCCTGCTTGCAAGGTTGGTCCTCAGTTAGCATCTGGAAACTTGGATTTGAGGAGGGTTCCCGTCATTACTAGGACTGATAAGAGCGGCTCCCTGTGCCTAAGCTGTTTGTACAAACAATATGGTCGGTGTGGGACATCTGCTTTCCTTCTGGGAGTCTGGAATTGTGGTAAATGCTAGGCAGACGGTGCCTATATGACCAACCCCCAATAAATGCCTTGGGAACTGAGTTTCTGAGGAGCTTCCCTGATAGACAGCGTTTCATATGTGTTGTCACACTGTTTGCTGGAGGACTAAGGTATGTTGCGTATGACTCCACTGGGAGAGGACTCTTGGAAGCTTGTTCTGGTTGTCTCTGGACGTCACCCCCTGTGCCTTGGCTAATTTTGCTCTCCGGTCTCTGACTGTAATAAAACATAGCCATGAGCCTGACTATATGCTGAGTTTCTAGTGAATCATTGGGCCCGGGAATGGTCTTGGAGACTGCTAACACCAATGGGGTCCCTCCTCTTCAGTATTCTGGAAAAGACTGTGTAAATTGGGTATTATTTCTTTAAATGATTGGTAGAATTGTTTAGTGAAACCATATGGACCTGGCGCTTTCAAGACCTTTTATTTTTGTATTTTTATT